CTAAAATGCAATTAAATAAATAAATGGGGAAAAAAAGAAAAAAAAAAGAATTGTAGCACCTATATTTGTCAGGAATACTGGCCTGTAATTCTCTTTATTGTAGTATTCTTCTCTGGATTTACTATCAGGGCAATACTGGCCTCACAAAATAAATATAAATGTATATCCTCATCTTCAGCTTTTTGGAGGAGTTTGGAAAGATGGTATTAGTTCTTAAAATGTTTGGTCGAATTCAATATTGAAGTCATTAATTCTTGGGCATTCCTATGATGGCCATTTTATTGCTTATTCAATCTCCTTACTTGTAATTGGCGTGTTCATGTTTTTTATATCTTCAACCACACTGTCTTTTTACTGAGGAATTTATTTTCTTTCAAAACAATCCCTGATAGCTAAAGAATTACTATCAGAATTTTCTTATTTTCTGGATGTTTTAATGGATCATTTTATTCCTTTCCTCCTCTCTTGCTGTCCTTCATTGTAATTAGATAATTCTTTCTAGTGGTATATGAATTTCACAGTGAGTAGTCCCTGATATCTTTTCAATAGCTGAACTAGATCCTGCACATTATTGCAGTAATATCTGACCACTCTAATGAGTTTCTCTGCATAGACATTACAAATCTGGTGTCTTTCTTTCTCTTGCTCTGGAAATCATTGTTCCCAGAAATCCATTAATACTGGCACTAACAGCAGATTGGATACCTCAAAGCTTGCTTGAAACCTGACATTCTTTATTCCAACTCTGTAATAAAATGATCATTATTCTTTCACTTTAAAGGCCATATTGTTATTATCCAGGTTACCTACAGCTAACCTTCAATTGTTCTTCACATGTGGAGTCACAGTATGTCAAAGTAGAAGCGAATGATATGGATCAATTAATTAAGTCTATGTTCTGAATGCAGATTTACTTGGAATCTTCTCGTATGTGAAGATCCAAATTTTTCAATACCTTCATGACAAGGATGCCAACAAGACAGCTTATTCCATCTTCATACTGCTTTAGCCATTAGAAAAATGTCTTATATTGTAAAATTTTAAAGTCTGGCTATCAGATCTAGTTGTCATCATTGGAAAAACAAAGCAGAATAAACCTATTTCTCTGTCACACATAACCCCACACACGAAACCTTTGAAAAATGCTAAGAAATATAAATGTAAAATAAGGATGGTACAAACTTCAGAGCTCAACTCATGTATACTTCATAACAACATAGACTAAAGATAGCCACACTAATCAGTGACAATGGGCTGTTTAGTAGGTGGTACTGGAGAACCTAGCTCAACATAGTGTAAAATGAAACCAGACTAACGTATATAAAGGTGGACTCCAGGTGGGTTAATAATCTAAAAGCAAAATGTGAAACTTTAAAATATGTGAAAATGTAGAGTATTTTTGACAGAAAACTACAAAATCAGAAATGACAGTTAATAATTTTTGTGCAATTCTGAGCACTATTAGCAAAAATAAACAAATGACAGTTTACAAGATTTTTCCAGTGCCTAAAAATGACATGGGAATTTATCAAGAATATGTAATAAATTCCTACAAATCACTCAAAAAAAGGCAAAAAAAATCCATTTTTAAAATGGAGAAAGGGATATAAAAAAGAAACCATGAAGATTAATATATATTGGAAGAAATAAAATTGTTCAAATGCTTTAGTAATCAAAGACGTATAAATTACAACAGCAAGATAATATTTTTACTGTGCAAACAAGCAATATTAGAAAATTAGATAAAACAAGTATTGAAACATATGTAAGAACAGAGAAGTGAAATTTGAGAGTTTAGGCTGGTGCAGACATTCTGGAGACTAACGGAAAAACTTAGAAAAATTAAAGATAAACACGCAACATGTACCAACTATTCAGATTCCGGGATTGACTCTTACAGAAACCCATAGGGGAAGTGTGTTCATTACAGCAATGTTGTGCTGAAGCAGTGCTGGGTGTGGTTGTGTATGTATCACTGAGATAGTAAAGAGGCAAAATCTTGTATATGAGCTACATGAAGTACCATAGAGCAATAAGAAGTAGTCATTTAAATGCACATATAGTATCAGAAATCAATGTTTTAATGCAATCGTGCTGAGGGAAAAAGGTTTTAAAAAGATATACTAAAAAATGTATTTAGATTTAAAATATATCATAGAATGACCAACTTTCTTCAGACACTGACAAAATGAAATCGGTTAGTAGATTCCCTGTCTCTTTCTTCATTCTATTCTAATCTTTTTTTTTTTAATTATTGTACTTTAGGTTCTGGGGTACATGTGCAAATCATGCAGGATTGTTGCATAGGTACATACATGGTAAGGTGGTTTGCTGCCTTCATGCTTTCATCACCTTTATTTGTTATTTCTCCCCTCATTATCCCTCCACACCCTCCCCACCCCCACTGTCCCTCCCCAGCCCCCTACTACTGACTGCAGTGTGTGATGCTCCCCTCCCTGTGTCCACACGTTCTAATTCTAATCTTTTTTATTTATTATTTGAAATTTTGAGTGTGATATTTGTGTTTATATTTAAATACAAATTTAAATAATTAACACACAAGGAATTAAGAAATATGTTAAACATCAGTATTTGGATTCAACTAATAAGATAACATTGTCGCCAGCTTTTGAGGAAGCCACAAACCCTCCAATTAATGCTGATTCTGACATTAAGGAGACGAGATTTCTTAGTGAAAAAGGCCTTTTATTAAGAAAATTCTATTTTTGTTCCATTTTAGTACATTCCAATTATACAGTCCTCTTGTGCTTCTGCAAATAGTCATGGCAGAAAGATGGAAAAAAGATGTCTGAATTTACATTTGAAAATTAATCAGAATAGATCTCCTCTCTTCAGTGATGTGATGTAACTACTCAGTCTCCATCGACTGCAGCTTCTCTTCTATGCATTCAGATGGTCAATGGACCACAGTCAATCTTTACTTATATGTCAAGATAGTGGATAGGGAAAATTTAAATTGAACTTGCTCTTGGAATGGTCACTGCAAAGGTAAGGATGATCTGTAATGATGATTAGCAGCAAGAGGAATAGCATCTTCTGTAGCAAAATGGTCGGTAGCCACAGCAGCCAGAGCTGTATCCACAGCCATAGTGAGAGTTTAATCCATATCCAGAGCCGTATCCACAGTCATATCCACAGCCAGAGCTGTATCCACAGCCATAGCCACAGCCTGTTCCATATCCAGAGCCATATCCACAGCCATAGCCACAGCCAGAGCCATACCCACAGCCATAGCCAGAGCCACAACCATATCCACAGCCAGAACCCCAGCCAGAGCTGTATCCACAGCCCCCATAGGAGTTTCTGTAGTAGTTGCAACACATGGTGTCAGGAGGTGAGCTTTCAATGGAGCTGTAGGAGGATATTTCTGAAGTGTGAGTGTCTTCCACTCTTCCAAGACCTTTATATACATCCAGAAATGCATGGGTCATCCTCACATGGGTCTATCTGCTCATTTTACAATCATTTGCCTAAAATGAGCTCCTTCTGTGTACACCTACTTTCTTAGGAATTTATAATTTGCTTATAGCTTCCCTGGGAATATTTTCATCCCCAAAAAGAAAACAAACATACAAGTTCCAAACATGCAAGTTTATACAAATATAATTTTATTTGCCATAATTTCACTCATGGTTATGACATAACACGTCACCAGTTTGACCTATAAATGTATGTTTACCATTCTGCTCTTGTAAGACCTTGGGAGTCATCCATTAAATCAGAAGCTCTATTCACTGCTCTTGATATCATTATCATTTATTCTTATGCTTTCCTAACACTTTGGGTTTTTAATCACGAACACTTCAAATTCTTTTCAGGGATTTTGGACAGGCAATTGGGTATATCCACGTGCTACCTCCACTCTCTGAAATCCTCTACTTATCTCTGGAAAAAAAAAAAAAAGGTTTTCCATCCCCTTCTTCATGCAGGTTCTCTTCCTTCTTTGAAGGAAAAAATGTTTTTAAACTTGTGACAGATCAGTTATGTAAGAAGATGTATGATTTATTATTTTAAAAACAAACTTTCCAAAAATGTTAATTTAGAACGAGAGTAAATCCTTGGTTCACAGCTTCTCTGTTGTTGAAGTCCAACTGTAGGGTCCAATTCTTAAACATACGTCATTTTTGAACTTACTCAGAGTACCCTCATGTTTGTTCTGTATACCAGTGCTTCTCACTAAAATGTAATCAATCAATAATTTATAACTCCATCTAGTGGAGCGGATGGGGAACGGGGAAATGTTGCTCAAAGGGTACAAAATTTTAGTAAGTAGAAATCGGATTTAGTAATCTCTGGCACAGATTGCTGACTATAATAATTAATAATGCATCATATATTTTTAAATTACTGAAAGAGTATATTTTAAATGTTTCACCACAAAAAATATGTATAAATATGTGAGATACTGGACTTAATTGGCTTGTTTTAATCATTCCACAGTATTATCTTGATTTTAGTCACATTTCTAGTCTTCAAAACAAAATTTTAATAATGATTTTTATGTGTAAGAAATTCTTTGGTATTTTACATTATGACCTTAATAAGTGTTGACCTTTCTATAAATTTCTTGTTCATTCTTTTTTTAACTTTATCTTCTCCCATTGTTTCTATGATAAATGAATTCATAATTCATGAGTTCTTTTCATTGAGAATCCTCTTTTTCCTAAATTCTGGGGTTCTTGTGATTACTTCACCCTCCATCTCTGCTTCTCACTTTACACGCTAGTAAATCTTCAAATCTTCTCTGCTACCCCTGATTCCAATATCATGTATATACAAATAATTCCTAAAACTAAAATTGTCTCCATCAGCCTGGGCCCAATCAGGAGACAGAAATACACAGCTAGTTTAATAGGAAAAGTTTTATATAAAAATTATAAACTATAATAACAGAGCATTTTTAAGATATGAAGAACCTATATGCTACTCCAAGGCTGCAGGAGACTACTGAAGGAAAAACAAACTTAGAAAAGGTACTCTACCCTCTGGATGAATGTATTGAAAAGTTGTTGTGCTATAGTTAACTATACCATATTACATACTTTGAAAAACTTATTAAGAGAGTAGATATCCTGTTAAGTATTCTTACCAAAGAGAGCATAGGAGGTATCTTTTGTAGATGATGAATATTTCTATTACCTTTACTGTTGAGATGGTTTCATGGGCATATGCATATGTCCAGATTCGTGAAATTATATACATTAAAAATGTATACTTTTATAACAATTATATCTCAATAAAATGAATGACTGAATAATCAAACTTGTTCTGCAGTCACCAGGCAGACAGGAGGCGACCCTCTGGAGCAGAGTTGGTGAACAAGCAATGCCCATCTAGAGATGTAGGCATGTAAAAGACTGGGAAGCCATGGGCTTCAGGCAGACTCTCAAGGGTGGGTAGGGACATCCTGTAGAGGGAATCTGGGTGTCTGTTTGTGTAGGAGCCCTACAAGAGCAGGGGACTCATGAGTGAACAATCTCTAAGGTGCTAGTTTTTAAATAGACAGGACCAAGTAAAGGTTCTTGCCGGGTTAAAGCTCAACGCCCCTCAGGATCCAGGATATTCCTCACCCAAGGCTGAGGTGGAGCTTTGCTAGATGTCCTCACACCCACACTGCCAATTGTCACCAATCCCCTCCTGTACTGCACCCAAGAATTCAGGAGCCCTGCTTCCTCCTGCATGTCCCTGTTGCATCCTCTACTGAGAAAGCTTGAAGCCATGCTCACAGTGAAGGAGAAATACTTAAGGAAACCCCATCTATCCACACAGAGCATCTACTGAAGGATGAATTGGATGCTAAGGGGCCATAAACTGCTAACCAGCACAGTCTCTCCTCCACGTTCCAGAGGCTCTGTAGTAGAAATAGCTTTCCCTGGAAAACAGATAGATTAATTTCCTGACTGAATGGTTTCCTAATTATATGACCATGGAAAATGTCCTCAACTTAGATGAACCTCAGTTTCTGCAACTGCCAAATGGGAATAAAAATAACTACATTTATTTAAAATTTTATCAAGAGGCCTACAGAAAATATATAGGAAATATAAAGAGAGTAGCAATAATCCTGATACATAGTGGAGGCAACATATTTTCTTTCTTTTCCCCTTTCCTTTACCCAAATAAAACATTCCTAAATAGTAACAGCTTTTCAAATTTCTGTATATACTTGTATCGATCTGTTTGTTATACTAAAATTTTGAGATTTGAATTTTAATTTTGCTAGTTTTAAAATCTGTGATATACATGTGTATAAATATACATATGTCAATTAATGTTTTTATAATAAACTTTCAAAAGTGACTAGATGCTCACAGAAAATGAACTTCCATGTAATTGACCTAAGTTTACCTTGTCTGAAGTATTTTATACAATAATGTTCTGTAAAAATATAACATCAAGCAACATATCACAGGGCTTTGCTTCATCGCATATTTTAAATCTCATAACCATGAAAATTTATTGAATTGACCAACACCTAACTTGGGAACGTGCCTGTGTATTAAATAGGGAGAAAGTAAGTTTCCGCATTCCCAGATAGTCATAGGATTGCTATGTAAAAGTGAAGTCAGTCTCTGTTTGGAAGTGTGACCATAATGCAGATGAAGGTTTTGGAAGAGATGAGTAATGTGTCATTATGAAAGAGCCCTCCTGATTCATAAGGTCAACTCGAAAAGTTCTGTGAGCATCACATGATAGCAAATATACATTTCCCCTCTTTACCCTCTTTTCCCTTCAATGTCAATTTAATCTGAATCAAAATGTGATTTTATCCAATTCCACACACAACAAGATGGTTTTCTCCATCTGTGAATGCTTTTTCTGTGGAAAATATTTCCTTCTCAGATATCTCTATTCGAGACTTAACATCATCCTGTGAAACCACCAAACTAAGAATGATGAACATCGTTTTAACAAAGGAGGAGACAGGCACAGAAGGGTAGAGTCCAAATAAAAATCACATTTTCCAAGCTTTCCTGATCCAACATGCAACCTATAATTTTCGCCAGTGATAAATTAGTAACCTCTCTTGAGGTTGTAGGAGCTCTTGGCTTCCTGTCTTTAACAATCTCATTTTATTACACTAATTTCCTTTTTTTAGTAGTTTCTGTACAACCTAAAGCTCTCACCATCTTGGATGGGGAGATTCTATGTAACTTGAGACCCTTGTATGCATATTTGTTTCTCTGATTCCTCCTTAGTATATCCACAATAAAGTCTCTAATGCAGCTTTTGGATAACATGAAATATTTTATCTCCTGACATGATTGTGTATCTAGAAGACCCCATTGTATCTCCTGTATCCTCTTTAGGTTTAAGCCTCTGCAGATACTTCACAAAATCTAAAACACCTGCCTTACTTTGCTAATATGGTTATTACCTCACCTCAGCCATCATATTCAAAATATGCTCATCATCTCTGGTCAATGTCCAAACCTATAAAAAGTTCTTTCTCTCACCCCTTTCCAGTTGCTTTTAAGAACATTACCACTTTTTTCAGTGACTTTGACTCTACACTTTATAGTCACTATTTAAATTACAGAAGTATTAAGGTTCTGTTAGGTTTATTCAGTTCCTGTATGTCTTAGTTATCTCATAAAAACCAGAATAAACAGTAAGTTATCCCACACTCAAACGCACACAGAGCTGAATAACTACTTCTAGCAACAAATCTCATTGTTTGGCTCTTACATTTAGAAAACTGTCACATATTATATAACAAGTCTGCCTTTTTGTAATTCAAACATGTTCATCTAATTCTGGCTCCTGGAACCAAGAGACTAATTTTAATCTATCTTCTATATAAAAATCATTAAATACATGGAGAAAATTAGTATATTTTCTTGTCTTCAGCACAAAGTGCTATGAGGTACACCCTTCTTCTAAGCATTCTCATAACTTCACCTTTTTTTTTTTTCTTTTGAGATGGAGTCTTGCTCTGTCACCCAGGCTGGAGTACAGTGGTGCAATCTTGGCTTAGTGCAATCTCTGCTTCTCAGGTTCAAGCGATTCCCCTGCCTCAGCCCCCTGAGTAGCTGGTACTGCGGCCTGCACCACCACTCCTGGCTAATTTTTTTAATTTTTTTTTTTAATTTTTAGTAGAGACAGGGTTTCATTGTGTTAGCCAGGATAGTCTCGATCTCCTGAACTTGTGATCTGCCCACCTTGGCCTCCCAAAGTGCTGGTGAGCCACCGCACCCGGCCCCAAACTTTATCATTTATTTACAGTTACCACATTCAAAATATTTCTACCTATCTTGAAATATACAATACATTGTCATTTGCTATAGTCACTCTACTGTGTAACAGAACACCAAAATTTATTCTGAAATACATGCAT